TGTGCTCGTCGTAACGTCGTAAAGTTGGAACTTTACGACGTTACGAATAAAAATATAATAATCATCATCATCATCACAGTCATTAACATCTTAGTAGATGTGTTGTGGTTCATAATTGGGCTTCAGCAGCTCGGACAGTTTGATTGATAATATTTCTCCACTGGTCGCGGTCATCAGTTATATGTATTGCCTCAGTATACTGTTTATTAAGAAGCTTTTTAGTAATGTCCGCCCATCGCTGTGGAGATCTTCCGCGTTGGCGTTGAGTCTGAGGCCTTCCTTGGACCACGAACCGCTCCATTTTGTGATCACTTCGATGGATATGGCCAAAGAATTCTAGAGTAAACGGTACTGGAGAGACGTTGATCCGGTTTAATTTCATCCAGAACCGAGAGATTTGTACGGCGAGCCGTCCATGGAATTCGAAGCAGGCGTCTCCATGTCCACATTTCAAAGCGTCTATACGTCGTCGATCTGATTCTTTGACTGTCCATGTCTCGCATGCATAGTAAAATATGAAAAAGACCAGAGTTGAAACGAGTCTCTTTTTGTTTGTCATAGTAATGTGACGATCACGCCAGACCCCGTTTAGTTCACATCATTGCTGCTCTTGCTAGTTGAATCCGTCTTCTAATTTCGGATTCACAACTGCCTGTGTTGTTAACTAGAGCTCCAAGATATATCATAGATGAGACTACCTCGCATCCCGCAATAGTTTGGGTTTCAGGAAACTGTTGTTGGCGATCAATAACCATGATTTTGGTTTTGTTGTAGTTAACCATGAGTCCAAATTTAGCACTTTCTACCTCGAGTTTTTTTAATAATCTAGTAATTTCTTCTGGAGTAGAGGCTAGAAGTGTAGTGTCGTCTAATATAATAAATACTTAATAAAATAAAGCTGGAATAATAAATCGACGAAGCACCCCTTTGTCGCACTCATCCCAACTTAGATTTTAAAGTCGACTTATTTGTTTTTTATTTGGAATACTAAATGTTGATGCAGTACTATCTTCGATGCACTTGATCTCCTTCGAAATGGCTTGTATGGCGGATAAACCTACACTTGTTGCTCTTACGACACGTTTTTGCACTTGTTTTAAGTCTATTACAGGTACGTTGTTCCTTGCTTCTTGTTGCATAAAATGCAAAACATTTGCTTCAATTTTTCGGCTTTGACCAAACAAAACTTTTCGATTTAATTTTGATTTAAATTCCATTTTATGTCACTGGGACTCACTGTTCTTTAAGAAAACTCTGCCACAGACTGTACCAATCGAATTTTACACGTTGAATTGTTGACTTCGACTGGTATATTTCCGATAAATTTAGTGCGCATCAGGTAGGCGTGGCGATTGTAAGATTTTCAAACTTCTTCTTATGTGTGTTGTAATATCTAAATCGGTTTTAATATGATCTTATAACGCTATTTCAGCATAACCCTGCATCGTTAGAGATCCTGGTAGGTACAAATTTCAAATACAGAAGGTCAAGGAATAAAATAACGTTATAAGATCCTATTAATATCGATTCATACATGGATATTTAAACGAACTGTGCTCTTGCTCCATATATTTGGCTTCTAATTCATCAAAGCGATAACAAAGCTTTTGGCCGAAATCGTAACCTTTTGCAAATATAACGCCAACATAACATTTTATATTTAGAATGGTATTAAGTGCTATAATTTTATATGAAATAGACAGAAAAACATTTTATATTAGCAACAGTGCTACTGTGCCTCCTCACGATAGGCGAATCTCCTCAGGTTTTAATCCCAGCCGGTTTTAGTTCAGATAAATTGTGTCGTCTAATTATGTACAACCACATTATTCATCATACATGGTTATAACTGTTAAGGATTGTCAGAATGTTTTTCCTCTATTTACAGTGCCGATTTTGTTCCAGAATTTGGAGGTCAATGTGGTTATCTTTGCTTTGCTGGCAGATATTCGGAATAATCCGGTTGTAGACGTGTTGAACTATTTTCTCAGGTTTTGAAGCCAGTGGCTTCTTTTTATTCCTCATGGACTTCTTTTGCTCATTTTCTCATCAAGATCACTCATTTTTTCCCATTCTATGCACAATGTCAATATTAGTAACTCGGTCTAGCTATAAAATTCCTCTAGATTGTGATCTTGAAGATATGCCTCTAAACAATACATATCGATGGTTTTCAGTGATTTTAAAGAAACTCTAGAAAACGTCCAAATCTCTATTCCGTATAGTAAGGTAGAACATATATATCATCTACAAATAGAGACTTTGCTTCTGAGTGATAAATCATTATTCCTGAAGATATATTTCATCTTTATGAATACTGTGGAATTCTCAAGAGGAAAGTAATATAAGTAAACTTTCTTAACATTTATGATCCATATCATATTTTATTATATTTACTCCTGCAGGAGCTCCAGTAAATGAGCTGATGGTACCATCATGTATTATCCGACAAGTGAGAGCTGGCGGGTGAGCTGCGCGAAAATAGAAAGGGAATTATTCTAAAATGAGATATGAGTGTACTTAATCGCGGCTGTCACAAATGCGTAGTTGCCGTATCAAAAATTTATTTGGGATCTGAAAATTACATTAATAGATATGTTCCGTGGTTGTGTCATTGCGTGTGTGATAAACTTATTTACCACGAAAACAAAATAAAAATAATATTAATATTGAATAAAACGTAGAAAAAATTTGTTAATAATATTTATTTTCATAAAACGTAATTAATTCTCGAAGGGAAGGTATTTTTGTATGTATCGCGGACTGATGCAACTTGTGTGTCTTTATGATTACTAAACACTAAACTAAACACAACACAGAACACACATTCTTTGTTTATTTTTCTAAGCCAGACGGTAAACTCAAGTATTATAGGCCTTTTATCTTGTGACGTTATTGCTTACAATATCATATTTCGTTTCCCATTTACGAAAAATGCAACGTACTAAAATGTATAATTAAAGTGTCCAGCATGTTTGTAGTAAATAAACATGTTGTATTATCAATAATAGTGATGTACTAATTAACTGATCCATTGTTTACTTATTATTTACTGCTATTTTTTTGTTCTGTAAGTTTTTATTTATTGATTATAATTTTATTGATTGTAACTTAAATTAAATTATTTAAATCTGAATTTATTTTGAAAATGAGAAAACGTCACAATGCGAAAACAAAGTACGCTGATTTATAAGTTTTTCATCTACAATGTTGCCATTAAAATATGTACAACTATGTTTTTAAATACGCTGGCAATTTCAAATTCAGTTGTTGTAACTGCTTTTAAAAAAAGACAACCGGGAGAATAATTGAATCAGACTAAATGAGATTCCTAGTAACAAAACATCCGAAGTTGTTATCCAGAAGTTACTCAACATATATTTTCGTTTCATTCGTATGAGAACCATTACTCTAAAGAACAATACATATCGAGTAAATGTATCAACTGTACATAATACACTGCGAACACCAATATACCTACGTCTGAAATTGCTAAAAATGGGTTTATACACATGTTTTTAATACAAAAATTAAGGTTAAATTCAAAGTTGTAGAAAATGACACATATGATACATGTGATACTTATTATTTAGTCGATGCAAAGCAAAGATATAATTTAAAAAATGCTGATAAGGATATTGCCAAACATAATAATAAACATAAAGTATTGACTGCAGATCTGCAAAAATGTTTGCCTTCTCCGATGTTGACATATGGATTAAATTTCTACAAACGGAAATTATGGACATTTGATTTCACTATTCATGAAACATCAGATGAAAGAGCTCATTGTATGATATGGTACAAATCAAAAGATGGCCGCGGTGTGACGAGATAGTATCAGCCCTTCCCAAATGGACAGAATTGGTAATTCCCAATGCTCATCTCGAATAAATAACGTTGTGGTCAGACAATTACTACGGCCAAAATAAGAACATTATGCTAATAACCTGTTTTGGATTTTGCATAAATGACAACAACAAATTTTTGGCCATACGCATATAAAAGCCGATACAATACACGCTCTGATTGAGAGAAAGCGCAAGAAAGCAAATAATATGACTATCCAAACGCCATGGAATTGACAACAATTTATACGTGGTTATTCACCAAAGATATCAGTTTATAACGTGTAATTAAATGACTTAAAAAATTCACTGATCTGTATAAAAAATTTACAGGCATTAATGCAAATTTTAACCAGAAACAAATACCACTAGTGTATAGAAAATTTTAGATTTCCGAATGTCCACATCCAGGTCCGTCAAGAAAACGTAGGCGAGTTCTATTACAAAACAGCTTTTGATGAAGATTTTAAACATCTTTGCTTAAAAAGAAAAAACGCTACATTTTCTTAACGTCTTGCCATAAGTCGAACACAACAAAAACCAATATCGTTAGTAAATTACAATGCTTCAATATCTATATTACCGTTTTTATCCAGTGAATGGCATGCCTATTATAAGTCGCTGTCTAAAGCAGAGCATGCTTCCGATTTTCCAGAATGTGGAATGAATGATTAATAAATAAACTTATGATTAAATTTTTTTTATTTCAAAAGCGGAAACACTTCAAAAGATGTTTAATTACCATAACTTATTACAATAGTATCAGGAGCTATAACATTATGCCATGAACTTATATAAACGATTAGAGGTAAACAACACTATGTTTATTAAAAAAAATCACCCCTTCTTAAATTAAGTTTAAACTACAGTAATACATAAAAAAAGTAGGTAATTATTCTATTTGTCTTTTAAATTGCAATTTTGTGTTGATAATTAAATAATAATAATAATTATTACTATTTTCGAGGTACGGCATACCATAAACCAATTTTGTGTTGATAAAATAATAATAATCATTACTATTTTCGAGGTACGGCATACCATAAACTGCCTTTTCTCAAAAGCACATTTTATTACATAGGGTAGTTTACCTCTGACACACAAATATATAAAAAACATTTTTAATATGAAAATAACTACACATTTATTTACCTGGTAAAACATAAATATTGCCATCCTGTAGTCGCAAATGTAAACTTGCTTCTGCTATTTTATCTATTCCAATTTCAAGTCTAAAAGATAATGAATTTCCTTTTTCGTCTAAACCATAGAAAGTTTGCGTATCTATCCACTAAAAATATTTGTAATTATAAAATTAAGCATTAGAATAATAACGCAAAAGAAATTAAAAAATAATCAAATCAGTTTACACACAGTACGAGGCAATAAGTACTTATATATTTTTGTTTATTTATTACCGGATGTTAGCCTATTTTAATGTCATTTATAAATTATTTAAAACAATATCTATTATATTATTTCCATCGAGTTAGAATATATGAAGACGAAATCACGTGACTAAAAACGACCTCACTTCGGCCATATTGTTATGATCGTTTTGACAGATCGTGTATGATTGTTTACGTTTGTTGTTTTTCGAATATTTTTAGTTTTGTAATACTTTTATAGAAACTGTAATATTATATTGTGATAGTGCGTAATAATGGTTTCTTGTTCTCACCGTAGTTGCAGTAACAGAATAACGTTCCATATGTTAGTATACAAAATATGTAAACAAAGTAATGACCCTACTTCAGAGAATAAATTAATAGTATTCATAAAAGTACTATCGATCACTTGCAAACAATCCGGATAGTTATTGAAAAAACAATAGAGCACAACCTATCACTACATCTGGCATTTGTCGATTATTACAAAGCATTCGACAGTATCGAGCAATGGACTTTCTTAACAGCATTGGACGACGCCAGAGTAGATTCAAGATATGCTGCCCTCCTTAAGAGTATATACGATGATGCTACTTTTCGCGTAAAAATAGATGATGATCTGGAAATTATGAAAATAAACCTTGGCAAAGGTGTGAGACAGGACGACACCATTTCACTCAAGTTATTTACTTTGGCATTAAAAAATTTCTTCAAAAAAAAAAATTGGGCCGAAAGGGATTAAAAATAGATGGAGTATATCTTAACCATTTGCGTTTTGCAGACGACATAGTACTAATAAGCACAGATATCCATGAACTAAAATCAATGCTAGAAGATTTAAATCACAAGTCCAATCAAATAGGAGTAAAAATGAATCTCGACAACACAAAGATATTAAGCAACAGCCTAGAAAACATCACGATAGATAACATCAATATGAAAAAGGTAGAATATATATATATATATATAATATATATATATATATATATATATATATATAAAGAAAAGGAAAATCAAACCCTAGAAATTAAAAGAAGGACACAATTGTCATGAGCTGCTTTTGGTAAGTTGAGCTTCATTATAAAAAACACAAAAATCCCAATACACTTAAACTAAAAACCTATGACACTTGTATACTACCAGTTGCAATTTATGGATTGGAAACTATGGCAATAATAAGAAAATGGCAGAACAATTAAGAGTAACTCAACGGGCCATTGAGAGGGCCATGTTAAATATAAGCCTCAGAGAAAATTCCTAACAACGAAATACGTCGAAGAACTAAAGTAACCGGCATCATGGGAAAAATAGCGACATTGAGATGGCAATGGGTAGCCCATGTAGCAAGACAAGACACCAACAGATAGTCTCATAAAGTGACATTCCGGAGACCTCGAGAAACAAGAAGAAGCGTGAGAAGACCCAAAAAGACATGGATAGACGATATAACAGCTGTAGCTGGAAAGCAGTGGATGAGAATTGCAAAAGATAGGGAAGCGTGGAAGCAACTGGAGGAGGCCTATGCCCAACAATGGATAAAGATTCATAAAAAATCTTACAGTAACCTAGAAAAGTTTCTCGATTAATTTTTCAGTCATTATTGAATATTTTTAAAAGTTTTCAAAATAGCAAGTAAAACATCCACTTCCAATAAAATATAAGTAATGAATACACAGAATATAAACATAGTAATAAACAATTTGTAAGCTGTTTAGAATATTTTTTAGTTCAATAATCATATTTTTTATTTAAAATATAAATTTGTTATTAATACTTAGTGATGCATATAATTGTATGTTTAGGTTTCCAAAAGAAACCAAATAAATATAGTGTTTTACGTTCAAAACCTTTTTTAGAAAAAGATATTGATAGAACTTTACTTTCTTCTATTCGTTTGAAAGACACTGCTGTTTCAATAGCTTATATCACACAGGTAATGCATTCTTATTAACTACTGCAACATCATTATTTTTATTTCTACACAGTATTTCCATTGTGATATTCGGATTTCATTGAGATACTAATTTTGTTTTTTTTTAATAATAACTTTTCTAACTTTGTTAATTGAACTAAATTTTTAACTGTCAGTTAATTTGTAATTATCAAATGTATAAGTTGTAAAACGAACGTATTTCTTTTAGTTCATACCGTATATTCATTTTACCCTTTAAACTATTATCTATATTATTATCTCTTTCAGATACAACTTGTTATTTGACTTTATTAATTTATCTTTATGTATAATATATCCAAGATATGTACGCCTGTTTCATAGACTACAACAAAGCTTTCGACCAAGTCCGCCACAAAGAGCTAATGGATATCCTCAAAGCAAAACAACTACAACACAATGACCTTCGAATTATAACAAATCTATATTATAAACACCAGGCACACGTACGCATTAATGAACACACATCAGAAGAGTTCGAAGTTAAAAGAGGAGTGCGACAGGGGTGTGTATTGTCACCACTACTATTCAATGCATACTATGAAGAAACTATGAAAAGAGCTCTTGAGGGAAACAGCAATTAACAACAGTAGATATGCGGATGACGATACTAATAGCAGACAACCTCCAAGACCTTCAAAAACTAATGAACAAGATAGTTGAGTATGGAGAAGAATATGGATTATCAATAAACACCAAGAAAACCAAATTTATAAGGATATCAAAAACCCAAAATAATGGTGAAAGCCTGACAATTAACGGTAGTGCTTTAAAACAAGTTGAAAACTATCACTATCTTGGCACAATAATTAATCACACAAACGATTACTCCAAAGACATCAAAGTTCGAATAGAGTAAGCACGTACAAACTTCAATAAAATGCGAAAGGTACTTTGTGCAAGAGAACTAAAATTGGACTTGAGAGTTAGGCTGGCAAAGTGTTATATTTTCTCGACTCTGCTTTATATGATGGAAGCATGGACACTTAACGCGCCAACTGTTAAAAAATTGGAAGCATTTGAAATGTGGGTGTATAGAAGAATCCTGAAGATATCAAGGACCGAGCATGTAACAAACAACGAAGTCATGAGAAGAATCAACAAAAGAATGGAAGTATTGGAAACCATCAAGACACGAAAGCTGCAATACCTGGGGCATGTTGTGCGTAATGAGAGATACAACCTACTTCAATTGATTATACAAAGGAAAATCCAGGGCAAGAGAAGTGTAGGAAGAAGAAGAATCTCATGGTTGCCTAACTTGAGGGAATGGTACGGATGCACACCAATTGAACTATTCAGAGCAGCGGCATCTAAGATCAGAATAGCCATGATGATTGTCAACCTCCGTTTAGATTATGATTAAATCTTCTAAATAACTAGTCATAATTGTATAATAGTTTTAATATTATTGAGTCTGGTCCTGATCCCACTGCCATATTCGTATGATCGTTAGCCACACCTACTGTATACTCATAGCTTCTCCATGGATTCTTACTCGATGATTATTTCTATTTATATTTTATAATATATATATTCCAATTTAATTTTGTCACGAATCTAATTTTTTTATAATAAGACCTCTAACAAACTACCTCAGAGATAATCTTTAATAAAGAAATTGCCAATTTACGGTGCCATAAATATGATCAGAAGAAAAGGATTATATTCTGCTAATAGAATTCTTTCCAGATCTTTCTTTCTGGTCGAAATATAACTGTTAAATTGTTTAAATATAATATTTAACCAGGGACTTTTTATTTGTTGAAGAAATAAATACATTAGTTCAAAGAAAACCAATTTATTTCAATAATGGTTGAAATGAAAATAAAAACAAATAAACAATATACATACTACAAAAAATGGTTTAAATACAAATACAAATAAAAATAAAACACGACATCAATTTATTTTAACAAATGGTTGAAAGCAAAAAAAAAATGAAGCAGATAAACATAATTTTAAAATTCTCCAACATACTTACAATCAAAATTAAATACCTTATTTGAACAGTAAAGATGTGGTTATTGTTAATTAAAAATAACAAACTTAATTTTTACTGGATTTAACTCGAGGGAATTTATAAACCTATATGATGATTAACACTTGACGATATATTTGACTTTTGATTTTGTTGACTTTTTTGACTTTAACTGCAAATCATATCTAATAATTTTGATATACTTATTCAAATTTACTAGAGGTCTTTCCGATTACAAATAACACAGTTAATACAGTTATTAACTTGTATAAAGACATATTTTCTAAATTTGGTATACCTGATGTTTTCTACTCTGATAATGTACCTTACAATAGTGTAGAATTTAAAGCATTTGCAGAAGAGGAATTTTGAGCTAGAGTTTTCTAGTCCCCACCATAATGCTTCAAATGGATTTGCAGAGAAGTATATCGATATTAGTAAGCAAATGTTAAAAAAAAGAGAAATATAGAGGAATTATCACAATTTCTGTTGGAATATCGAAATACGCATCTGTCTAGGTTGGGATATGCTCCCTCGCAGTTGCTTCTCAATCGAATTGTTAAAATCAAAACTGCCTATTACTGCCAAAACTATGCATTATTTATATTTTAAACAAATTATATTGTATTCAAATAATTCAATGAATTATTATGTTTACTCCCAATGCAATCTGTTGACGCATTAACAAAGCATATCTTGTTTACTTCTGACGTTCTGACAGACCCTTCAAATTTAAACGCAATATTAAATTAATTAATTAATAATAAAGTATAAACAAATATCATTTAATATTAAATTTAATTATTATATAAACTAAATAAAGTGTTTAAAATAAATAAAATTTGTATTTATATAAAATTATTTTAAAACCAGAAGTAGGTTAAAAATTAAAACAGATGATTCAATATTGTTATTATTTGGATAATATTTATGACTTTTAAATTTTGAAAATCTTTTACTTCTCATTTAATGTCTATATATTGTTAGTTATTTTTTATGCAGTTTTTAATTTTAAACTGCTTAAAATAAATATATGATGATTGTTATAGAAATGATTGGGAGTGGTGAATCGATGTGAAGATTAACTATTTTATAACTGATGCTACCTGTGATGACGCCATTTTGTGGCGCTAGTTCCGTGAAAAATTATCATCATTTTGCATTTTTCTTGTAAATTACGAGCCAAAGTCAAAATAAACAAAATTATTTTAAGATAGTAACTAAACTGAAGTCATTATTACTATTTATTTTGGTAAAAACCAATATTAAAACCATAATTTGCTATGCAACGAAAAATATAGTTTTTTTGTTTTTGACCAAATCGACAGGCACATATTTACAATAAATCTCTTCCTCGCTTAACTTAGCATTTATAAGTTTTCGAATAATAACGAATAATACCAGAGTATTTACCTTCGAGTATCAAAAATCAGGTTTTTAAATAAGGTACTACATGATGCATTTGTCCATTTAAAAAAGTCGAAGTTGTGACTGTTACTGACTGTTACTAGTCAACTTTAATGCCATGACATACTATGATCATACAAACGGTATATACAAACCTGTGCTTTGGGTGCAAATATTTCTGTTTCTATCCGGTTTCCTATTTTTTCTAGTCGTTTCCTATATTTCTCTTGATATTTTTTTACCTCGTTCTTTGCTACAACCAATTTAACAAGGTAGAACCAATCTGAAATAAATAAAAATTAAGTGCACTTTTAAACAAATCTGATTTATTTGATAACTTTACCGCCGAAAATTATTTATTATAGACCAAATTACTATTGTGTCTACCACAAATTATACTGGCTAAGATATATTATACTAATACGCAAAGTACAAGACAGTATATAAAATAATACTATAACGGTAAATGTTTACCATAGATTGAAATCATATATGAAAATGCAGTTTAATTCTGCTACCTGGAGAGCATGGTGGATAGTACAAGTAACAGACAATTATATGACAACAAAAACGTGCCTGGCAAGAAAAATATTTAATAGCCTAAAAAGTCGAAAGAAATAAATATAAATAAATAATTTTACAGGGAGGTGAAGATTGTTAAGTATATGGAGAGAGAGAACAAAACATCGAGAGATGTGCAGGGATTAGCTTCTTCTTCTTATGATGCGCTGTCCAATTAGTGGATGTTGGCGACAATTCCGGCATACTATTCTCGATCTTGTCTGGCTCTAAAGAGTGCATGGACATCGAGGCTTATTCAATCCCCTATGTTTTTAAGACATAAGTATTTCTTTCTTCCGATGCCCCGTTTTGATTCCCATTGGTACTTGGAATTTCGAAATATATGACGCAGATAAGCAGCTTTTCTTCTTTTTATTATTGGCAGCAATTCTCGTTCTCTGCCCTTTCGATTTAATACTTTGACATTTGTTGTGTGATCTGTCCAGGGAATTTTAAGTATTCTTCTAGATACCCACATTTCAAATGCCTCCAAAGGTAACATTTTACAAAGCGATATCGGAAGCGTTAAGGTAAGGCTGCTGTTGCTTAGCAAGGTTCTCATATTCGTAAATGCTGTATGGCTTATTCAATCCTGCTACGTATCTTTATGTCTGGATCTAGATCTTCAGTTATCCAACCACCGAGATATCCGAACTTGGGGACCTTTTGTATGTTCTTATTGTTTACTCTTATATTTAATTGCATATTTCGTGTTCTACTAACCACTATTACCTTCGTTTTGTATATATTAATCTTCAAGCCCAGTCGTTCTCTTTCAGTGTTTATTTTATCTATTAGTCGTTGTAGCGTAAAAGATGAGACTCGATATAGAGAAATATATCTACAAATAAGATGCGAGGTTAAGCCAGCAAAAGAGGACTGGATGGAACAGAGATGTCATGAGATGGAAGAACTACAAAGAAAACATGACGAGTTTAATATACACAAAAAACTTACCTACACTCAGAGAAAAAGAACTCCCCACTTAATGAGAAACTCCAAAGGTAAAATTATTCTCGACTTAAACGAAAAAAAGGAAGAATGGGCCAACTACATAAAAGAGCTCTTCCTGGATACGAGGCCATCACTTAACGCCACAAAGTATACGAATACTGGTCCTAGTATTTTAAAAGCAGAAGTATAGAAAGCCATCAAACAACGCAAAAATGGGAAATCTTCAGGCCCTGACCAAATACCATCAGACTGGCTCAAACATCTAGACGAGGACAATGTCTCAGAACTAACAAACATTTATAACCACATATACGAAACTGAAACACCACCACAAATATGGTTGGAGTCTACATTTATCTCACTTCCAAAAAACTTATTACATCATCATGTAAAGACTTTACACTAATTAGTCTCATGAGTAACTCTCTCAAGCTACTTCTTAGGATAATTCTTAATAAAATCAAGCAGAAATTTGAAGGCACAATGGGAAATAAACAATTCGGTTTCAGAGAAGGATTGGGAACAAGGAAAGCTTTGCTCTTAATGCTAACACTGCTTCAACGATCATGGGAAGTACAGAAACCAATTTATGTCTGTTTTATAGATTTGACATGGCTGAAAGTATCGAAGATCTTCAATTCCTTATAGATCGAGTCACTAGAGATTGCTCTAATAACGGACTAAGCATAAATACAACAAAGACAAAGTTACTTGTGGTTAGTAAACAAGACCTCGGGACTATACAACTAATTGTCAATAATGAACCGATAATAAAAGTTAACCATTTTAAATATCTAGGATGTTGAATAAACGAGACACTAAATCCGGATAAAGAAATTAAAACTCGTATAGAAATTGCAAGAGGAGCATTTATGAAACTGAGATCTATTTTGAGCAATTCTCAGCTTACAGCTGAGAATTAAGTTCCTAAAATGTTATGTGTATCCTGTATTACTGTATGGATGTGAAACTTGGATTATGAAGGTTAACATGATGAACAAATTAGAAGCCTTCGGGTTATATCGTAGAATGCTCAGAATATCATGGTTTCAACAAATTTCAAACAGAGAAGTCTTGAACAGAGTAGGTCAAGGTAAAAGTGACTTAATAAAGATGATAAAAAAGAAAAAACTCGAATATCTGGGGCATACAATGAGAAGAAGCAGATATAGGATATTACAGTTGATACTTAACGGAAAGATCGACGGAAGAAGAGGAATTGGTAAAAAGAAATACTCATGGCTCCGAAACCCTCGTCAATGGACTGGCTTATCAGCAGATGAATTATTTCATGCCGCGCAAGATCGAGAACGATATCGGCAAATCGTCATAGAAGCTACCCACGCCTAAAACTTGGGCACGGTACTCAAAGAAGAAGATCGTTTTCTGTTTAGTTTTTCATTGTTCTGATAATATATTGAACCTGTCAATTTTGTGTTAAATATTTCTTCCCCTCTTTATTCCTTGAGCCCTTGTCAGGCCGTGGTGGCACTCTAAATATTGCTAGCTTGCTGTCTCCATTGGCTGAGATCCTGTTCTATATGGACGGCTTTATGTAGGGTTTTCCCATCAGAGTCTTCATTTGGTCTGCCCATCGGGTTGGAGATATTTTTTCGAAAAACTCTAAGTAATTAAAATGGCTCACTTGTTCTACTGGATGGTCGTTAATAACTTTTTTTTTGGTTTTATTGGGTATTTACCTTCAAACGCTATAATTTTCTTCGTTTTTGTCGATATTTTTGTATTGAACTTCTTACACACTAGAAATAGTTTCTAGATGGCTCTTTGTTACTCACATTCAGAATTTTAGATTATCAGCTGATCATTGACAAAAAGTAGTGTTTTTATTTGTGTATGTTGACTGATTTGTATACCTGTCCGTAAAATTGTGTCTCACTCTCTTATGATGCTATTATATATACCCAATCGAGAACATAAAGAAGAAATAACACAATTTAAAAAGAATGAATGAGACGGAAAATAGGCTTAAAATACTCCAAAAAGAATCGAAAAGAAAATTTAATAGCTTGATTAAACATTAAATAAATGAAGAGGGGAAAATAAAGGAAGATATGAACTGTCCTTAAAAAGCAAGAAAACCTAATAAGGAAGTACTAAGGAGAGTAACCAAAGATAAATGCTAATCTTTATCAATACTCGCTAAACACTGTTAAACACTGGAAAATCTTATCTGGGACATATAGTGAGGAGAAATCAATATAGAATATTGCAACTAATCCTTAAAGGCAAAATAGAAGGTCGAAGAGGTGTAAGAAGTAAACAAAGGGCCATAAAAAAGGTCTAGACTAAACTAAAAACTAAAAAGAAAATTCATAAATCAAAGTATTCATAAATTATGACCCGACACTCAAATAAAGCGAAGTTGTAAAAGATAACAGAAAAGATATAATGAACTCGCTTAAAGGGTGAAAATGTAAAAGTAGGATTTAAAAAGTAAACTATAAAAATTTTTATATTGGATGAAGAGGAATGAAGATAGGAAACGGAAGAAATATAGTACCGTAATATGAGGTGAGATTGATCTCCCTGGGTGACATTGATCATTTGTCAGCAAGCAAGCAAGTAATTTAATTAAATCCAGCATGTGAGAAATGTTCACCCCTAAAAATTCGTTCGGGTGTAACAATTCATTGGACCGAGGTGTGTTAAATCGAGTAAAAACAGGAGGTTCTCCACCGCACTCCAATACACCAGACCATCCCTTTCCCCCTATAGCACTCTGATGCGCGATAGAAGCCCAAATATTAGCCAAATGCTCTTCATATGGAATTTCTGGGTAATAGAACCTCAACATGGTTTCCTAACCGAATGCAAAACTCAGGACAGCGCATTGTCGCTTTATTCCTGTTATCTAAGGGAGAGCGCCCACCAAAGTGGCGTGGCACGTAGCAAGTGGCCAGTAGCATGCTTCTAGCATGTTTCTTTAAATGTAACCAATGAAAACGAATGATTCAGCGCACACCAAAATGATGGTGACGTCATTCATTCTAATCATTCGTTTTCATTGGTTACATTTTAAGAAACATGCTAGACGCGTGCTACTTGCTACGTGCTACTTGCCACGCCACTTTGGTGGGCGCTCGCCCTTAATGTAGCTTATCCGCCAACTAAAATTGCTTACTTGAGCCTCAAGTCTCCGCTCTGAGTCAGGCTCAGTTCGGCTATTTGGTACTCAAGGGGTTGGGCCCTACATGCCCGGGTTTTTGGGGTTTTTGTTAATTTTTTTTGTTGGCTGCGCCGGTTTTTGTTGATATTTTTTAATTTTTTTATGTACATGTATATGATTACACAATGTTTACAATTACCACATGGTCTTTTGCTGTGCTAAGTTTGTTAATTTTGTAAACTGTATCTAGTTTCGATTAATTGTTTCTACAGCATAATCTTATAATGTCCATTGTCGTAAGCTTCTTTACATATTTAATATCATTGACAGCTTCATGTCTTTTTGAGGTAACACACTTGCAATATCGTTTCTATGGATGTTTGGTTTTTCATATTCTTCTTTTTAGATGAACTGATGATGCTTTCTGATTAGAAAGTTAGAAAGCGAAACGTCTTCAATATATAGATGAAGTAGCTACCTTCTTTGTCTTTTTTCTTTAGCTTTTGACCGAAAAACCCACCACTCTTCGAGTGATCCTTAATTTATATTGGATTAAACGCTCTTACTCCTTTTATATATATATATATATATATATATATATATATATATATATACTCTTTTTCTCGATATATGTATATATATATATATATATATATACTTTTTTTCTCGATATATGTATATATATGTATATATATTGTATATATATGTATATATATTGTATATATATATATATATATATATATATATATATATATATATATATATATTGCAGTGATTTGCTTATAATTGTAAATCTACTTATATAGTCTGTATAGTCTGAAATGTAATAAATTTATCTTTATCAAACAAATCAAAAGCAAAGAATATCTCAGGGCTAAAAATTATTTTTATCTTTTTTTTTATTAAAACGTGGCTTCAAAGTATCTTCTGCTAGTTCCATTTAACAAAGATCAACAAAGGGAAAAAGAAATAATAGACAATCAATTCTGATATTAAAACAATTGTTCTTTATTTTAAAATATATCCAATTAATTTAAAATTCCGTTGAGGATAAATCTTACACCATACAATATAAATAGACTAAAAAAAATAATTAATCATCCATCAAATCACACATCCCTTAATGTTCAATTAAAATTAAATACACATATTTCTAAATCAAATATCTCTTAATATAAAAATTTTAGAAAGAATTATTGGTTCCTTGACTTCTTGCCTTAACTGTAAACATATTGCAAATTACAAACAATTGACATGAATGTTGATAGATGGTCGTGATAGAATGTCTTTCTAGAATTTATTTAAAAACTTAAAACTTTGGTTTTCAAACAGACTATCTTCCCTTGACTCTGCTTGGATTGTGCCCTGACCAGATCGCAATGTACTTCCCAGATCCTACCAATTTTCCTGCTCGCTATTCCGCCTACTGTTTCTTCTGATAATAAAAGAAAAAGACAAACAGTATGTGAAAATGTCGTGATGTCTTTACCACAAGCTCCAAACTCCAAGACAAGCAAACTGCTTCCTCTCAGGCATAATCAAAATATATCTGTTTGTACTTACAGTAATGCCTCTATTTCTACTGGAACTCGTATCTGCTTACCACAATGGCTGCTTAATTTTCCACACAAACACTAAGCACTACTTCTTATAAATTCTCAAAAAAAAATGTTTTCACCGGAACCGGTCTCCCTCGATGTTCAACTCACAATGTCTTTCTTTTCGCTCATTTCATTCCCGGCAAGCTTTTTACCCCCTTCTTCAACATCCGGACCGGATAAGGCACTGAAGAAGAAGAAATTTTTGGTTTTTCCAAAAATTACCTGACGTTAAAGTGCTTTCCGGCAAACGACCTTGAATCCTTTTTTTAACTTTTGTAAAGGAGAAAACCCATTAACCAATAATCCCTACTTATTACTTTCTAATCTATTATAACCGCAAATTTCAAATAGTTGTGTACTAAAACTACCTGGTCATGTCCAAACCGTATTGTCTTTTTATCGGAGAAAACTTTCTAGATCACTTATTCACATATTCGGAAACCACTCTGTTGTTCCCGGTAAATGGTTTATGATTTTACAACTAAACTATTTCTATATGCAGTTTGTTCTCGATTTTTTTAATGTTCTTTTGATTTTAATTTTATTTAAAATTTGGGGATCTTATTAAATATATATATATATATATATATATATATATATATATATATATATATATATAAATATATATATATATATATATATATATATAATATATATATATATATATATTAATGACACTTACCTCTTCCACTATAAACACTACTTTTATTTTTTCTAACAAATAAAAAATACACCAAAAATGGAAAGGATAGCAAACTTAAATAATAAATAAAATTATACAATATATCCATTTTGAAACTTAAAATATGATCGATTAGACACAACAGACACCAATCATAAACATATATTCGAAAGTTCAAGTAGTCAAAAAAATTGGTTATCGTAAAGTATAAAATATATTGTAGGAATGATAAATCTGCGATTAGAATTGAAGGTCAAATTAGCCAGCACCGTCAAGAGCAACAAAACCGACCTCAGATAATAATATATAGGGCGTCCCATTACGAATAAGACATTATAATAACTGAAAATGTTCTGCTTCAAAATAAGGTGTTTCAAAAAAACTAATTAGGTAAAATCTCATCCCGAAATACAGGGTATTAAGTTAAAAATTAAAAAATTTTGATCAATTTTTTTATTACTCGGTATCATTTTATTAATTTCGTTAAATGGTTTTTGTGTCATAAGATACAGCTAATACAGTAATTAATTTTTTGAAGTTATACTTCTATACGCGCGGTCGACGTTGGAAATTTGCACTGGAGTGAATTGGTGAAATCATTACATATGTAAGATATGAGTAAGAGAGAGACAGAAGATATATTTTCTCTCTAGAGAATAAAAATGTTCTTTTTGTATATATATTTAATATTATATATTATATATATATATATATATATATATATATATATATATATATATATATATATATATATATATAATATATATATTAATATTATTATTTATGGAATATGTTTTATATTATTTATTAAATGTTCATAATTATTTTATTCTTTTGTATTTCAAAATAATAATTACAATAAATCACTGTATGACCGAGAACTGCCAATTTTGAAATCCGTTAATGTCATGTCTAATTGGCAAATTTTTTACGTGTTTTGTTGATACGCTGGTATATGTGAGTTCGAATTGAAACCTCAATACTCCAGGGGTATTGGATTTTAGGAAGTGAAAGACTTCCAAATTCCAGAAGAACTGGAAGAGAGGTGATGAAAATACTAAAAATATGGCTAAGCTCAGAGGAAGAAAGTTAAATGGCCAAAGAGACACTAAATCTCAAGTAAGTGTTCGGGCTAACTTTAATGCACTGGATTGTGGCTTTAAAGATATCAACAGATAGCAAGGATACTGAGCTAATGAGACAAGGAACGAAATCAGATCTGGTAATATCAAACGTGATACAACTAAAGAAGGTCACTGGGAATAAATTTATAGAAAGAGAACAATAAGAAGAGAAAAAGAAGGGCGCCAACTCAACGATAGTTGAGATTTTGAAGTAACAAATGATTGGAAACAAATGATTCTGGAGATAATATCCTGAAATACAAAATACTAAATACTAATCTTGTTTTGCTATATTATATACTGGTTAGTAGAACTGAAATAAAACTCAAAATAGTAACAATAAATATATTTATAAAAATATGTATATGGATATATATGTATTAACAATTTACATATAATGCAAAACTAAATAACAGTGGTAGTGGATGGTGTAAATATACAATAGGACTTAATAGCCCCTCAACAAGCGAATAATCACTACCACTGGCCAAATAAAGTATAAAATATCAGTAAAAATAAGAATAGTCCGTATCATAGCCAAAGTCTTAACACAAAAAGGTAGTAATTTAAATTTAACTAGTTCGACTAAAATGAGATACAAATTACAATATTGTAAAGATATCAAACTTGATAAATATTTTTTTTTTTTTTGTTTAATAAAACTCCAACAGGAATCTTATGACTATTGCTATCTGATCATTCACTATGATCAATAAGCAAGTTAGTTCTATATATAAATATTACAAGAAACTTATCTAAGGTTATATTCAGCAATATTCCTTAGGCTCTAATACATTATAGTACTACTAGCTAACGTGTACACTTTAGCCGCACTTTACTCTGCTTTTTCACTTTCACTCACTTATAGCACTAAATCAAACGGCTTCGTTCTCTTTAGTCTTCTTATCTGGTTGGCGTTGTCTAGGAGTTTGATGGCCTCGACGTTCACGTGGTTGGAGAGCCTCTGTTCATGACTCTCGGCAAACTTACTTATTGTCTGGATAACTGTATCCAGCTGGAGGTCTCGATGAAGATCACAGTTTCTAAAGTACCATGGAGCGTTAACGATGTTCCTTAATACTTTATTCTGATATCGTTGTATATGTTGGATGTTGCTTTCTTTTGTACAGCCCCATAGCTGTATTCCGTATGTCCATATCGGTTTAAGGACTTGCTTATATAAAAGCAATTTGTTATAAATAGACAGAGTGGATTTTTTTCCCATCAACCAGTACATCTTTCTGAACTTAATTTCTAATTCCTTCTTTTTTTTCTTAACATGTGCTTTCCAACGTAGCTTGGAATCTAACGTCATACCCAAATATTTTGCCGTATTTGCATAAGGTATTTGGTTTCTATTTATATGTACTGGGATATGTTGTTCTTTTTTGTTAGTAAAATTGACATGAACAGATTTTGTTTCATTCAGTTTGATACGCCATCGGCTGGTCCAGATGTTAATTTGTTCAACAGAGTTCTGTAACATGGTAGCTGCATCCTCGTGGTTTTGTCCGACTGCTAGTATGCATGTGTCGTCTGCAAATGTCGCAATTGTGTTAGGTTCTAATGATGGAATATCGCTGGTATAGAGCAGGTATAGCACTGGCCCCAGGACACTTCCTTGTGGAACTCCAGCTTTAACTTCTCTTAATTCTGAATATGCTTCCTCATATTTAACTCGAAAGTATCTGTCGGATATATATGATTCTAGTAGTTCAGAATATTGTTTTGGTAAGTAGCATCTTATTTTATGATGTAGTCCATCATGTCACACCTTGTCAAAAGCCTGCGCTACATCGAGGAAAATTGCGGAACAAACTTTTCCTTCTTCTAGAGCTTTTTCTATGATATCTGTTATTCTATGCACCTGATCTATCGTTGAGTGCTTGCTCTAAACCCAAACTGATAATTAGGAATTAAATTTTTTTCTTCTATAATCGGTTTTAGTCTCTTCAAGAGTAATTTTTCGTATAATTTAGAGATGACAGGTAACAGTGAAATAGGCCTATATGAAGAAGTTTCTTGTGGAGGTTTTCCTGGTTTTAGTGTCATTATAATTTCTGCCACCTTCCATATCTTTGGTACGTACCTCAACCTAAAGGAAGCGTTTATAAGATGTGTTAAATTTTATAATAGCTTTCCTTGGAAGTTGCTTTAACACTTCCCCAGTAATTAGATCAAATCCAGGAGCTTTCTTTGGATTTATATTTTCTTTTATTTCCAAATATACTTCTTTTGGAGTTACAAGGCTAATCTCCATTTCGTCTTGATCAGGGAGCTCCCAGTTTATTCTTTCTTGTTCTTCATTTGGTTGAAAAGTATTTTCTAGGTGGTCAGCAAACCTGTTGGCCTTTTGTATATTGCTTCTTGCCCAGCTACCATTAGTATTTCTAATTGGAGGATACTGTAAGATTGGCCTTTTTAATCGTTTAGTAGCCTTCCACAAAGAGTAATCAGTAGCGCTATCATTTGATAGTTCACTTAGGTAAATGTTAACCGATTCGTTTTTAATTTTTTGTATTTCTCTTTTTAATTTTTGTGTGGCATTATTTAATCTAGTTTTATCAACTGGTGCTCTAGACTGATGCCACTTGCGTCTTAGTTTTCTTTTTTCGGTTATCATTTCTCTGGTTTCTTTCGGGTAGTTATTTCCTTTTATTCTTTCGACACTGTTCGTGCTGTTGTTCCAAGCAGCTTGTGTATATTTTTATTGAGTAATTCTACTTCTGCTTCTAGTTGATCAATGGTTCTTAATGGCACTGAGAGGTTAATCTTCTCTTCAAGGTCTATCTGGAAACTTTTCCAATCAGTATTTTTGTTAACAAGTCTAGGGGGGCTTTCTTTTTTGATAACAGTGTCACTGAGTGTGAGAATAATTGGAGAATGGTCCGAGGTCATATCCAATGACTCTTCTATCTCTATGTAATTTGTAGAAATATTTCTAACTACAAAGAAGTCGATAAGATCTGGAATTTTATTTGTGTCAGTAGGCCAGTATGTTGGTTTTCCCGTTGATACTGCGTCGCATTTTATGTATTTCATTGCTTCTAAAAGTTCTTTCCCTTTGGTTGTAGTCAGTCGTGACCCCCAATGCGTATGTTTTGCATTGAAGTCTCCTCCAAGGATAAATCTATGTCCTTGACTGGTCAGGAAATCTACGTATTGATTTTTCTTGATGGCATGTCTTGGCGGACTGTAAACTGCTGTGACGATTACCTCATAATTTTTACATTTAATTTTTACTGATGTGGCCTGAAATTCTTTTGTTCTGTACCCAATTTCCTGATAGTGCATAATATTTTCCTTGATTATTACTGCACTACCTCCTTTGGCTGCATTATCAGGGTGAGTAGTATGATAAGTTTTGTAACCCCTAAATCTAATATATGACTCATTCGTAAAATGGGTTTCAGAAATGAGGCATATGTCTATTTTTTCTATATCTAGTATCGCTTGTAGTTCTTGCTGATGTTTCGAGATCCCATTTGCATTCCATTCTAGTATTCGTAAATTACCCGCCATTACCAAGTCTTTTAGGTATAGCTCCTTTGTTGCTATATTCTATTCTGGTTATACGCTCGTCTAGGTTAGTTAATCTCTCTAATATTTTTTGTAGTGTTTGTTCTATTTTTAGATCTTTTTGACTACTATAGTTTTCTTCGTTACTTTTACCAGCTGCTACCATACTATAAGTTCTTGTTTTGTTTTCTTCTTGTTTTGGATTTTCTACATGTTTTGGATGCATTTTTTGAGGTTGTCTGGGTAAGGTTTGTTTCTTGTTATATTTATCTTTAATTTTTTGTATTTCCTTTGCCACGATACATCCTCTATAGTTAGCCGGATGCCCTTCTCCACAGTGGACACATTTAGGTTTTGCGTCCTTGGGTTTCTCACATTTGGCTGTTAGGTGTTTTCCTGTGCAGCGGACACATCTCGGTTCTTTCGAACAGTAACCTTGTGTGTGTCCATATGCCTGACATCTCTTACATTGAGGTACCAATTTTGATTTTCTGAGTGGAAGTATTTGTACTTTTACGTTCATGATATCTGAG